CTTCACTTTGAAAGGTCTGACTTAATAGGAGGGAATTATTCAGCTTATGGAAGTTGGCCCCTCTCGTGACCATTTGGTTGAAGCCCAATACTAGTTCGATCGGCTTGTGATCTAGCCCCGGGTATGGTGCTAGAGGAAGGATCTATGCCTCCTTGGTGGCTCCCATCAAGACTTTTGACACTAGAAAGAAATCTATCCGGGAGAAGGCGGTATGATTGGCGTTATTTTTCTTGATCAAGGTGAAGGCTCTTAAGTCGGGGTGCATCGTCCTGAGGGGGTCTACCAAGTCGTGGTCCAGCATCAGTTCCTTGATTGGAACAGCTTCCATTGAGCTGGATAGACTGGCAGATCGGGATATACGGTCTATTGCCGGCTCACTTGTGGCGTTCCAGTCTCCCGCTATAATGCACGGGGTCAGTAGGGGGAACAATTGACTTAATTGTCTTATAAACGTTGCGCGCTCCGTAGGCGAGTTTGGGGCGTAGATGTTGAGGAGTACGAATTCTTCCTCTTTCCACTTCATGTGAAATAAGCACCATCTCCCTTCCCTCTGGTCTGCCTTCTTGTCAATCACCGTGCCTGCTTGGTAGAAACGGGAGGCCTTGGGGATCAGGACAGCCGTTCCCTTTGTGCTGGAATCTGGATCCGCCGCCCAAACTTCGTCTCCCAGGCCGCCTAATTTTTTTGCAATGAACCTACGTATTCTGTTGTGGTCGGTTGACAGGGAGAGATGGGTTTCTTGGAACATCACTACGTCAGCAATCCTTTTGCTGCCTTGTGACAGTCCGGCCCATATATCATTCCATTTCTCTTCCTTTTCCATTATATTTCCAAGTCCATTGACATTCCAGCTCCTAAGGACCAGACCTTGACTCCTCCAATCCACCTGTTTCCCTACCTCAACCCCTCCATCAAAACCACCGGGCAGACTCCGTTGTCTGTCTAGGCTTGTGGCTCATTTGCTTAGGTGGGCGGGGGAGAGGATATGTCAGCCCCAAGGCCGTCTTCTCTCTCCTCTTGCCCTCCTTTGTCATCTTGTAACACGGCGTCGGAGCTCCCCTCTGAGATCGCCTTGCCCAGCTCCTCCCCTCCTCTCCCCTCAGTGTCCACCTCTCCCTTTCCCTTTTTTTCCAAATCCATCAGCCTGTCCATCTTCTCCCACTCGTCATCACCGTCCCTTGCATCACCTTCTAATCCTTCACTTCTGTAAAACCTCTCATCATCTAGTGCATATGCTCTCATGTCCAATTCTTCATCCCCATCTAGCTGCCCTGCCTCCACGATGCTGGCCACTGAAGTGACCATCAACTCCGTAGACACTCTCGGGCCAGCCAGAATGCTGTAAGGAACTTCAACCACCGTCCGCCATGGTCTCCATCTCATCCCTGAATGCAGTTGTGTCTCTTCCGGCATTTTGGCAATCAAGGGTGAGAAGGCCCTCAGGGACTTCCTGCCAGCTAGCTCCTTGGTTTTGGGATCGCTCTCTGAGCCCTCTTGGGATTCGATGTCCTCCATGTCTGATTCTAAAGCCACCGTCTCAAACAGACTCAGAGGGACATCGAAGGTGACATGGTTTCTTAAGGCCTTAACAATGTTTTCCCCTTCCACAAAGTATGGAATTTGGAAGGCTACGTCGGTTGCCACTAACCATTCCTTCACTTTGGGGTCATACCTGGCTGCAATGAGCGGTCTGATGTTCCTCAATGTTTTGCGGGCTGCATTGGCTGCTTCCACAACCATGGGTGCTTTCCCCTTTGCAATCTGTGCAATCGTTGTGTATTCTGGGGCGTATTCTCTGTTCCATTTTCTTAGTTTCTCTATTTGGGACAGGACGACTGCAATTTCCTTTTCCAACAGATCCCGCTCTGGTTTATCTTCCTCCCCCCCTTGCTCTTCGTTGGATTCCCTTTTCTTCTGGTTCTTACTTGTCTTCCTCGTCTTGGGGCGTCGATCTTGGGAGATATCTTTGGTTGCGGGAATTGTTTTGTCTTTGTCTTCCGTTCCCTGTTCTCTTGCCCTCTTTTTTTCTGCATACCTGAAGGCTGCATACTCGGAGAACTCCTCCGCCTTAACTTTCAGGAGGGCTGCGAACTGATTGGGTGAATTACTGATTCCAGCAATTACGTTCTTCTTCCCATTCGCTTGGGATCGTACCGCGTGTTTCAAACATGCTACCTGAACATCGAAAGCGTGTTCCCTCTCTCTTTTCGCTTTCTCCACATAATGTCTTATCCACGCTAGGGACTGTTCCTCCCGCTCATGCTCATCCTCCTCCACGGGGCTGGACTCCGGCTTGGGATCTGCTTCGTCATCAGCCTGCTCCCCAGCCGCATCAAAGTCCATTTCCTCACCCTCGTTATCCGCTCCTGGTTTGTTGTTGTCCCGTTCCCCTGCTGGTCCCTCGACCCTTCTTCTTTTCAAGCCCGATTCTTTCTCCCCGGCCTTGCCCCCTTCGTGTAATTGGCGTTTATTGACTGGTTGGGCTTTGGCCCTTCTTTTGTAGGTTTGTAATTCTGCTTGTTTCAGTGCCTCCTTGAAAGAATCTGGGTTCTTGTTGTATTCCTCTTCAACCTGCTCTCTAATTGTGTCCAGGTCCGTCAGTAAGKCTTCCCTTGCTTTCTCTTCCYTRATCACCCTGGAGTCRGTAATCGGCATAGTGTTGATCTTTGTCGGATTGCCTCTTACCTTTCCGGTGGCCTTCTTTTGCCACCTGCTGTCCGCCGGAGGGAAGATGTCTGGTTTCTTGGTGGTAGGAGTTAGGTTTGTAAGTGCCAGACCCAATCCGACTCGTCGAGGTTGTCGTCGAAGACCCAGCCGTCATAGGTTAGGTATGCCACGAACCAGGTACCGGGGGCATCTTCCACTTCTAGCAGCGTGTTGGGCGACAGTTTCCTATCCTTGGTTGTTTCGGAAATTTCGGACAAGCGGGGTCAGTGCCCAGATGACCTCGCTCCCTGCAGCGAAAGCATATTGGGGATGTGCGTGTAGAGATTCTCACCTCAACCATTCTGCTTTCGATCTGCAGGTTCCATGTTTGTGGAAATACTGGGGGGTCGTCCGTTTGCACATCCAAGATCGCAGTCAACGATCCGCAATGTGGAGCCAGAAAATCTGGCGTGGGGAGGATCGACTTCAGAATTCTATTGGCCGGGGATTGTCGCTCGAGCCTGTCGACCAGCAGGCCGTGAAAGCCCGGCTGAATGTTATCGAACTGAACCCATAAATTTTCCTTCATCAGAGTCTGTCTGTAGGAAATTGCAAAGGCCGGGGTCTGCCTTTGGGCTGACAGTTTCTTCCATTTTGTGATTGTGCAGACCGAGCCATGGCAATTCCTGGATTGCATTTCCGCTGTTATCTTTGCATGTTCCTCATTGACGAACAGGACCATGATGTTATTATGTCCTAGGCTTTGTAAGGAGACTCCCCTATATATTTGAGCCGCGGCTCCTTTCTGATCGTGTCGATAACCCATTTTCTCTTTTCCGCGGGCTGGAGATCTGCGCCGTGGCGTGCGAAGTTGGAAACCACTCCATGTTTTTCATGCAGATCATCCAATTGTGCAACTTTCTCCTCCGGGTACTTCCAGACTACTACTTCTTCCTGCTTTCCATCGCCCAACTGTGTTTCGGTTGTCTCGATCCCCTGTACTTTCATTCGTTCGATAGGAATTTGAGGGCCTCATTGTCGATGATATTGGGTTGCTTGTCAAGGACCTCGTTTTCGGCTGTTGTCGTTGCCATCTTTGAGGTATTCGTTGAAGGATAGACAACAGATTAAAAGATTATCGACTGCTGTTGAGTTGTACTTGTTTTAAGGCCTCAACGTTTAATGGCTAGCTACTACTAGGAGGAGTGCGATTGACCCTTTGCCTCCGATCGTGAGATCTTACGAACACTTATTTGAGAGCGAACATGCATAATCGGCAATTAATCAAAACGAGCTTATACGACAAATGGTGAGTTAATTGAGGAAGAAGAAGGATTAGCTGGATAACTTCTGCGGGATGGGGTCCGGACCAAGAAAATCTACTGAGAGGAGATTGCGAGGTAGCGGGGTGGTTCGTAATGGAGAAGGGGGCGTAGAGGGTCGGTAGGGGGGTCCGGGTGGTCGGGATAGGATTGGGGCGAGAAGGGAGTGGTCTCAGTTCGGGGTTGGAGGGAGATTGAAATGAGGATAAGATGGTCGGGTGGGATCAGATTGGGATTGGGAGAGGGGTGAGGACGGTGTTGTGGTCAGTTGAGGTGGGGGGCGGTTCACGTTGAGATAAGGGTCGGATTGAAAATGGGAGAAGAAGGAAAAGGGGTGAGGTTGGGAATGAAAAGGGGGTGAGAAGAAGACGATGTAGACGTGAAATGGATGAATCGGGATCGGGGTGGTAGCGAGTCGGGAGCTGGGGGACAGATCGGGGATGAGCGTTGGGAGAGGGAGGTGTCGAAGAGGAGTCGGGGGTGGGGGCGGTGTGGAGTCGGGATGGGGTTGGGTTGGTATCGGGGTGGGATCGGGTCGAAGTCGAGTAGAGTTGGGACGGGGACAGGGTCGGGATGGATTCGGATTGGGATCGGGATGGGGTTGGGAGTGGGATGGGGTTGGGATGGGATGAGCTGGAATGCAAGGCGGTAGTGTTGACGGGGATGAGAGTTGAGAGAGTGGTTTCGAAGATGAGTCGGGGGTGTGAACGGTGTGGAGTCGCGATGGGGTTGGGTTGGTATCGGAGTGGGATCGGGTTGAAGTTGGGTAGAGATTGGGATGGGGTCGGGGTGGGTTCGGATTTGGATCGGGATGGGGTCGGGAATGGGATAGGGTTGGGATGGGGTGCGCAGGGATCGTGAAGCGGTTGCGTAGGGGTCGGGATAGGACTGGGATATGGTCGGGTTTCATTCAGAGAGGGGTCTGGGGGAGAATGAGGTGGCAACGGGGTAGATGCACTTCAGAGCGGAATGGGATAGGGATCGAGGACGGTTAGGAGAGATGGAAGAACTGATGAAAGAACCGAGCTGCGTTATCTACGGAGCTGATTGGAGGGGTCGGGTTGGGAGTAGGCACGGGTTGGAATGAGATCGGGTTGGGATCGGGGTGGGGTCGGGGTTGAATCCGGTTGAGGTCGGGAGGGAAATGGGAATGAGATTGGGTCGAAATGGGATCGGGATGGGGTAGAGTTAGGGTCGGATTGCGATCGGGGTRGGATCGCGGCGAGYGYGAGGGGGGGCTGAGGAGGTTGCGTTTCGRAAGTAAGAKGRGGTGAGGTTGAGAAAGGATTGGGAGGGGAGTGGAATGGAGCCGYGATTGTAATTGAAAAGGGAAATGTTGGAGTCAATATCGAAAAATGGAAGAACAACGGATTGAAATCGAGATTGTCGTCGAGGTTGGGATCGGGGGGAAGGGAGATTGAAAAAGGGGGGTTGGGATTAAGATTGAGAGTGAAATTGAAGAAGAGGTTGAGATCGAGGTTGAAAAAGAAGAGGAGAATGATTCACAGACGGGGGTAATCAGGATCAATCCGGGGGGCAGATTGAGTTGAGGTGGGGTTGAGCAGGAACGAGATTGAAAGGCAGTCATAGCCGACGGTAAGCGGGGACGGAGTTGGGAACAATGTTGGGATCAGGAGTGAAGTCGAAACAAATCGGGTTTGGGGGGCACCACGTTTTGGGGTTGAGGGGGAGAAACAAACTACGAGAAGCAAGCGAAAGCTATTGAGGGGGGTGGGTAGGCGACGGTGGCGAAAGGGATGGTCTCAGGGTTGGGTCGGACTGAAAGTCGGAAGAGAGTTGCGCGCGAGTCACGCTGAGTCGAGGAGGATTACAAAGTGAGGGGGGTTGAGGTAAGGTTGGGATCGGGTGAAGAATTGAGTGGGATGAAATTGGGGGGGAGAATTAATACGAATAATAGGGATCAAAGTGACAACGGAAGGAGGCTGGAGAAGGATAGAAAAGAGAAGCGATCGAAGGGTGAGTGGACAGGAGTCAGTAAGAGGGGGATGAAGAGTTGAAAGAAGGGATGGATAATGGCTAGACGAGGACGGGGGTCGGATGTGGGAATTAGCAAGTTGCTCTCACTGGCGATGTTGGTCCTCTTGGAGCTTTGGGATTCGGTGACGACTGTACTTGATTGCTTCAGGTTGTTCGACGTTGTCCCACTTTTGCGATGGCAAGGGCGCGTGCGCGCCTCTTAAAGTCCGAGCGATGCCCTCCTAGCGGCTTCCCTCCTGCTTCATTCTATTCGGTGGCCATGGCGGAGCGCGCGCGCGTGGGGCGCGCGCTTGTGGTGTCCGACGTGGGTCGGGCTATGGCGAGAGCGCGGCCTTCAGTGCAGTTTGAGACAAAACCCGTGCGGGGGCGGGGGACGGCGCGGCGCGAGCGCAGTGATGCGCTAACCGGGCGGCGCTAGCGCGAGTTTTTTTCCCTGCTTTCTTGATTGAAAACTTCTCAGTTTGTACTACTTTGTAGTACTTTGTACAGGGTTGTTTTTTTTGTTTTTAGAGTGCCATCATGCCATGCAAATAATCTGCTGCTCCCTGGAAAGCAGGGCGGTCCCTTTTTCTCATATAATATCTTATATAATAGAAAGCAAGGAAAAATAATAAAATATCAATGCAAGAGTTGTGGGAGGAAGCCAAGGAGCTTATGGAAGCGGAGAGCAGGGCAGAATGGACACAGACGCTAATAAGGATAGAGTCCGATAGACAGGCAAGCAGACAATCAGAAGAGGTCCAAGCTACAACAAGATTTCGAAGAAGCATGGCGGAAAGGAGGGAAAATAGGCCAAGTGACTGGACAGACTCTTAAGTTTAAGGACTGGTGTGAATCTGGTGCAAAGAGCATCAGGATAGAAGCAGAGTAAGAAGAGTATACGGACACAGAGGAGGGACAAAGGAGGGAGGAAAAAAGAAAGGCGAAGAGACAGTTCATCAGACACTTAATTCCAGACAGTTCTCTCCTCCTCCTCCTCTCGTCTTCTTCGTCTTCCCCTCGTCCCCCTCGCATTTTCATCTTCCTCAACCTTTCTTCTTCTTCATCGTCTTCCCCTTCTCCCCCACTCGTTTTCTTTCTCCTCCTCCCTCTTCTTCTTCTTCTTCTTCTTCTTCTTCTTCTTCTTCTTCTTCTTCTCCTTATTCTTCTCCTTATTCTTCTCCTTCTTCTTCTCCTTTGTTATGACCTTGGTTGTCTGACGATTGTTACCGCCACTCACACACAGACAATCTCATACACGCCCATACATGCATAAGAGAAGGGGGAGAGGAGTCAGAGTCCACACTGCACAAAGAACAGAGTAGGCAGCGGAATACAGCTATGCACAGCTGGGGAGAAGACACACAGTGTTTCTCTCTCTCTGACAAACTCCCAACAACCAATCACAAGTAGAACCTGCAAGGATCACAATTGAAATTGCACTGATGATGAGCCAAATCAAACAATTATCGTAACAGAGTTTGTTCCAGTATCTCGCCACTCTCAGAACTCACACCCCACTCTCTATCCTACACCCAGTTAGTAGCGCCACATCAGAATAGCCTCCCAGAGGCCAGCGCCAACCACCCTGATGAAGAACAGGTCCTGCGATGAAGTCTTCAGTGC